TTTGTTATGGTGTCATTTATAACCCTTTTAATGTTATATCCATATAATGTTTACAAGAAATGTCCTAGACAATGTTGTTGTACCCCAATCCAGAGTTGTATTTTTTTAGTAAGAGCCAAGAATTTAATCATGTGCTAGAAAGATGTATATATATTAGGTTTAGTTCGGAAAAAAAGAACGAGTGTAATAGGGACTTCAGATCCACCACAATATGACATTTAATATTAGTTGAATTAGAATCAATATAGTTAATAAGATCAAACACTACAATAAAATTGGGTTTATAGGACACCTTCAATCTCTAAGCGTCCCAATAGACCGCTTTATAAGATTTAATTTATATGAACAATATATAAAGCGTCCTATCTAAATGTGTTGTAATAAGTTTAAGTGACGCTTTTGGGCGTCTTAACAAGTTTTTTAGAATATTTTTAATACAAATTGTCGCATTAGCAACTTTATAGGACACTTTTGAGAAAGTGTCCTGTAAACTCAATTTTTTATAGGACATTTGTTTTTATAGGACAATTTTTCAAATAGTGTCCAATAAAGTTGTTAATAAGATGTTTTATATTAAAAGTGTTCTAAAAAACTTATTATGACGTCAAAAAACGTCATATAAACTTATTACAACACCTTTAGATAAGACGCTTTCTTTTTTTGGTCCTAAAAACTAAGTCTTATAAAGAGGTCTATTAGAAACGCTTAGAAATTGGGAGTGTCCTATAGACCCGATTTTATTGTAGTGAAAACAAGTGCCTAGATAGTTGAACTGTAGAATTCCATTACAATTCAAGCCAACATTTGTTTTCAAATTAAATAATTTAATTTGTTGGCGAGAATTCAATAAGTTTTATCAGGGTTTGTTCCGACTACGAGACGTTTTTAATGCTCCCTATGTGTCTTTTTGTTCGTTCAAATGGCGCATGCTTTTATATGGTTCAACAAACTTTTTGTTGCGACTTCGTGTGCTTGAGATTTTGATTTTCGATATGATTATGCTTTTATGGTATCATCTAGAATCAGAACGTGAAACTTCATATCTCTTTATACATTTAGCAAACATCTGATTAATTAGATATGAAGTTTTGACATGCAATTTGATTTAGGGGTTGTTTTGTGCAGAATCATTAAGTGGTCAGAATGATTAAGAGTCTCTCATGATATAGTGCAAAATGAAATATAATTGTTTGGTAATTGTTTACGATGAAATTAGGGCTCTTAATGGTTAAGAGAGGTACATGATACAAAAATCATTCAGAGAGTTTTAGAATCATTAAAAAGGAGAATTTTTTTTTATCAAACAACATTCAGCTCTTAACGATTTAAAGATTGTCTCTTAATGAAACTATTAAGATGTAAACAAACAACCCTTTAGATATGAATTATTAGATGAATTACGACTTCGATGCAAACTTTAACACGGAATTTGACTTCCTTATTAACTTGGTACGAAGTTCAACTCACATAACTCCAATATAAAGTTAGATTTGAATGTGAACTTGTAATTATTGGAATTTGGTATGAAATTTGACTAGCATATCTAATTACACATGAAATTTGACTTATGGAACACTATATATATATATATATATATATATATATATATATATATATATATATATATATATTATATTTCAAATGCAATCATGTCCATTTGTACAATCAATACAACTCAACCAATTGAGATATTTATGGAAATAATGAGAGTTCATTTATTATGATTTGAATATTTATAGAAGATGATTAAAGTTTATTAATTATGATCGATATTTTATATTAGAAAACAATCAATTTTTTTATGAAATCACATATTCATCAAATTAAATAGACGGTTAAGATTGAGTTGTATTGGTTGTACAAATGTAAAAGATTGTATAATAACCCACCTCTCTCTCTCTGTCTCTCTCTCTCTCTCTCTCTCTCTCTCTATATATATATATATATTATGAGGTGGGTTATTATACAATCTCTTACATTTGTACAACCAATACAACTTAATCTCAACCGTCCATTTAATTTGATGAATATATAATTTCATAAAAGTTTTGATTGTTTCCTAATATAAATTATTGATCATAGTTAATGAATCTTACTTATCTTTCATAAATATTTAAATCATAATAAATGAACTCTTATCATTTCCATAAATATTTCAATTTATTGAGTTGCATTGGTTGTACAAATATGATGAGTTGCATTTGAACCATACTATATTTTATATATATATATATATATATATATATATATATATATATATATAAAGGGACGTTTTTTTTGATGAATAAATGGAAATATTACTTTGTCAATTTCTGGAAATCTTATTTTTACCTTTGGTCTGAACCAGGAAGGATTTATATAAACCAATTATCCAATCATTCCCTTGACTTGCATTTGTGGGTTCAATGCGAAAATTGTTATGGATTAAATTATAAGAGTATATATATATATATATATATATATATATAGGGTTTATTTCAAATACAACATATCGCATTTGTACAACCAATGCAACCCAATAAATTGAAATATTTATGGAAATGATTAGAGTTCATTTATTATGATTTAAATATTTATGGAAGATGAATACGGTTCATTAATTATGATTAATACTTTATATTATGAAATAATCAAAACCTTTATAAAATCACATATTAATAAAATGAAATGGACGGTTGAGATTGAGTTGTATTTGTTGCACAAATGACAAAGGTTATATAATAACCAACCCCTATATATATATATATATATATATATATATATATATATATATATGTGTGTGTGTGTCATTTACACCAAATCAAACAAAAATTACGTAGGATTAGGTAATATGACCAATATGGCTTTAACATATGAGTTTACTATTCCTTAAATGAAATTGATATATAATATAGTGATATTTTTCAATCAAACTTACAAACTATTTTTGTATTTCATTTTGAATTTGAAAATCATACATCAAAAACCTCTACTATACGTACATCTTTAAAAAACCCAGCCCCCTTTCGAGGCATCACTCTGTTGCCCCCTGTTGTCGCACCTTTGTCCTTCGTCAACCTCTTTCACCTCACCCAAGGAACTTCAAGGGTTTCCTTAAAATCCGTTGTTCTCTTCTTAAAAGTTTTATTTTCCATGTTTTAACCACCAAATTTTACATTCTTATATATTTTGAACTCTAAGTACATATAAATTAACAGTTTTTTTTGGCATTTTGACTAAATACGATTTAAATGATCGATTGAGAGACATTTTTTTGTGTATTACCTAGAAACTTTTTCAAAAATAAATCAAGTCAGATATTTCCACTAAATTTTACAAGAAAGAATCAATAATCTGAACTCACTTTTATAACGATTGCAAAAGCTCGACATTGCTAAATCAATACAAGTTCCAATTGCGTAGATCAAGATTTATAGAACGGTACTACAGATCTACTTGTCACAATGATTGGTTAACGTGCACGATGAAAACCATAACCATTGAAAGAGACTTTCCCATAGAAACCCCCATGAAAGATAAACACTCCGATAGAAACTTCCAAACAAATTTCATCTTTCACAAGAAAATACGTTTACTCACATAGCCAATATCGTAATAAACACACACTAGTACTGCAACAAATTTGATTGATTTGAAGAGCGTAAGTCCAACTTTATTAAATTAAAGGAAAAAAAGATTAAGAGGTTGTTTGTTTACCTCTTAATAGTTCCATTAAAAGATAACATCTAAATCGTTAAGAGGTGAATCTTGTTTTGTCAAAAAAAAAAGTCTGCCACTTAATGGTTCTAAAATCCTCTGAGTGATTATATCATGGATCTCTCTTAACCATTAAGAACCCTAATTTCATTGTACATAATTATAAAACAATTATATTTCATTTTGCACTATATCATGAGAGCCTCTTAATCATTCTGACCACTTAATCATTCAGTACCAAACCATTCAGCAATTGTCAGATTAGTAGTAGAAGAAAGATGAGAGGGGTAAAAAGGGAAGAAAAGAAGAGAGGGTAAAAGGGTAAAAATGGAAGAAACGGTGGTGATGATGATGTTGAATGAATGAATGAATGAATGAATGAGAGGTAAGGTGTGATATATAATATAGGGATGAATGGTACAGACACATGTAATTAATTAACAATAACTAATTAGGGAAATTGAGTAATTAGTGTTCTTTCTAGTCTTGGTGTTGTCGATTTCCTTTCCTGGATATATAATATAATTGTGGAGAGAGAGAGAGAGAGAAACAGACAAAAACTAAAGTGTTTTCATTTGCGACTTCTTATTATTATTCCCATTATACATATTATACTTCTTTTTTCGATTTGGTTAACGTCGGAAAGCTGTCTAAGAAAGAGATGGTTCTCTCTCTTTCTCTCTCTCTCTCTCTCTCTCTAAAACCAATACACACACACATATAGATATAGATATATATATATATATATATATATACATATACTGTGAGAGTATGTGTGTAAATGAGAAGATTACAAGGAGGATAGCTTGATTTCGATTTGGGTAAAGTAGTACAATTCAAACAAAGAGAAAACGGGTTCACAAGAACCCAACACAGAAAGAGAGAGAAAGAGAGAGAGAATGTATGTATAGGTGTATGTATAGATAGAGAAAAAGAGAGAGAGAGATGAAATTAGGAGGGAGATGGATTTGCTGCTTTCGGCTAAGGGCTAATGAAAACTGGCCTCGTCCATGCTGTATTGGGCAGTTGGTTGTATTGACCAGAGAGATTTACACACACAAGATCTAGTGGGAGATGCACCCACACCTCCCCATCTACCTTATCTATTGCCTATGTATGTATATGTATCTATAGCCCACCTTCTACCTACAAAACCCTAGCTAGGTTTCTTGTTCTTTGCTTTTCTTTTATAGACCTACCCAGAAAAGAAGAAGAATAAAAAAGATAAACAATTCCATTTTGATCATTATATGTATCTCTCAAATCTAGAGAGAGATTATTGAAAGAGATAGAGAGAGAGAGAGACTCTACAGATTTAAGAGAGAGAGAGAGAGAGTTTTCTATTGTTTATTTTTTGTTGGGTTTCAAGGGAGAAATGTGGGATCTAAACGGGTTTCCTGATCGGAGAAAAGCCCCGGAGGAATCGGAGGGATGTTCTTCACCTGTGGAAGGAGAGGAAGACGATGATAATAATAATAAAAATAATAAGGGTAAAAGGGTTGGATCCATATCCAATTCCAGTTCCTCCGTCGTGGTTATGGAGGAAGACGACGCCTCCGACGAGGACGATTCCGAGAGGATGACTTCAAGAAAACGGTTGTTTGGGTTCTCTATGGACGGCGATCCGCCGCCGGTAACCCATCAGTTCTTCCCTATCGATGATCCTCAAGTGGGTCCCACAACCTCCCTCGCCGTTGGTATCTCCCCGGCCACGGCTTTCCCTGCGGCTCACTGGGTCGGTGTTCAATTCTGCCACCAGTCTCCCGGTCCTATTTCCGGCGCCACCGCCGCCAGCAGCGTCGGTGGGTTTCTCGGGAAAGCTGCCGTGCCGGAAGTTCCCCAGCCACTCAAGAAAAGCCGCCGTGGACCACGTTCCAGAAGTTCACAGTACCGTGGAGTCACCTTTTATCGGCGAACCGGCCGGTGGGAATCCCATATATGGTAGGTTAACTGGCTTCCATTTTTCTTTGCAATTCCTTCCCTTTTTTTTTTTCCAATTCTTTACAATTTATTTATTAGTTTTCTTTGCAATTCCTTCCCTTTTTTTTTCCCAATTCTTTACACATTTATTTATTAATTTTCTTCTTCCATACCTTGCATTATTGACATTTTATTATTTATATTATTTAAATAAATAACCAGAATTATTTCCCATTAAAAAAAATTAATTTTTTCCAAAATTCAAATAGAATTATGGGTTTTTATCATTAACCCTTTTCATTACAGCATTAATTAAATTATTTTCTCATGATTCAGGGATTGTGGGAAGCAAGTTTATCTCGGTACACACTTCGTTTCCCTATTTATTCAAGAAATTTAATTAAAAATCAAATCTTTATCAAGATTTAAATCCAAAAATTCGAAAATTAAACGTTTAATTTTCATTTCTCCGATGTAAAACAGGTGGATTCGACACTGCACACGCAGCAGCACGGTAAGAGCTATATATATATATATATGTGTGTGTGTGTGTGTATACAGTAAATATTTCTTTGATTTTATTTAATCTGCATAAAATATTGATTTAAATATAAATTTGTTATTATATATTCGGCCATTTGCAGTGCATACGATAGAGCAGCAATCAAGTTCCGGGGAATGGAAGCCGACATTAACTTCAGTCTTGATGATTATGAAGACGATCTAAAACAGGTTAAATACTGTGTGTGTTTTAACTTTTTGTGTGTGTGTTGTTTACAACAAAAACACTCACAACACAGTGTTTAAATTAATCAAGATTGTTGTTGTTTATGATGTTGTGATATTAAACAATGAAAACAGATGAGCAATCTAACAAAGGAAGAGTTTGTGCATGTACTACGGAGACAAAGTACTGGATTTCCAAGAGGGAGTTCCAAGTATAGAGGTGTTACCTTGCACAAATGTGGTAGATGGGAAGCAAGAATGGGCCAATTCTTGGGCAAAAAGTATGTTTTTCCTTTTCTATTGCTTGTTTATGACCCAATCGTCTCTGTTGCATATATATATATATATATATATATATATATATATTATATTATATTATATATATATATATTATATACACACACATAAACACACACAGACACACATCTGTATTATATGTAGAGGCCTAACACATCAAGTAGGTACATTGAATGTAACTTGAAATTTGTCAACAAAATGTACATAATAATGTTGGTTAGTGTCGGTTTTTTAATATGGATTCGTTTTCTACATATCATTAATGTAGCCGTTTCTATAAAACGACTAGTCCTAATGATTACCATCCAACCCCGTGTAAGATTTTATTTGCGTTTTCACAATGCGTAGAAATTACTAACGTTTTTTCGTTCCTTAAAACCTACCTTTTCAACTAGTTACTAATTTGCCCATTGGTTACTGATCTTTTTGGTTCAATATATAAGGGTATTTTAGACAACGCTTAATCAAGAGTTGTCACGTTGTGTTTAATATGCTAAGTTTAATGTTATGATGACAAACGTTGTTAATCGACGTGTCCGTTGTCTTGTTTGATCTTTTGGTTTCAATACACGAAAGGGTATTTTGGACATTTCACGGGTTTGGATAAAAAAAGAAAAAGAAAAGGGTTTTTAAGTTTATATAATAATAGAGACACCTATCTACAGCTACCTATGAAGCTACTTAACACATTCTTCTCTTTGCTTTTAAGTTTGTTCTTCTTTCTATTGGATCCTTTTCTTTTTGGTTTTTGTTTTTACTCGTAGATGCTTCTTCCCTTTTCTTGATAGCAAGTAGATCAACATACAAGACACTTAGGATTTCTTTCCTTTTTTGTGATTTAATTAATGATGTTTTTTTCTTTTCTTTTTGTCAAGTTTGATGTCTTAGGTTAATCTGTGTTCTTTAACAGGTATGTGTATCTGGGTCTCTTTGATACAGAAGTTGAAGCAGCCAGGTACAAGAGTGTTTTCTTGATTCTTGAAGGACTGAAATGTCAAAATCTAAACTCAAAGGGTATAAAATTGAATTATTAATCTTTATGATGTTTAGGGCTTATGACAAGGCTGCTATTAAATGTAATGGGAAGGCTGCTGTTACCAATTTTGATTCAAGGATATATGAGAATGAACTCAATTTGACTGGTAAAACAACACACAGTAATTAAAAAAATATGTTGGTGTTTTTATTTAATATTTAATATTTTGGTTTTTGTGTTACAGAATGCTCGAGTAATAGCAATAACGATAACAATGTATCATCGGGCCATAATCTTGATTTGAGCTTAGGTGGGGGCTCGACATCGAATATGGCGAACAGTGGAGGTGAAAATGGCCATTTTGTAAGGGCTCATCGTTCTGACTCGATCCAACTTGGGTTCAGACCTACCGGACAGAATGAGAGAAAAACGTTACAGCTTTTGAGTCACACGGATCCTGAACTGTTTACAAACCAAAATGAGATAAGCGGATACAAACATTTAATGAGACCCGTTGACTCGTCTATGCACCATATGTTCAACCCACCCGTCTTCAACTCATTGAGTCGTCATCAAGTGAGTTCGCTTCGCTCTTTGTCTTTCTCCTACTCTCCTTCAATTATGACATCGCCATAATCTCCGAATTCTTTTGTAAAAACCTTACAAATTATTAAACAAAAGTCATGTGAAAATGTGGTTAAGAAACCCTATTATACAATTAAACATCAATTTAAAATTTTCAATTATTATTCAAAACCCTAATTAGGTAAGTCTCATAAACCTCATTCTTGAAGCTGGACAGATACTAAAATGATGATTCCAATCAATCCCTCCAAACAAATCAAGATTCATGAATAAACACATAAATTCAATATTTTTAGGATCCACCATTTTTGTTTAAAGAGGAAGAATTAAGGTCATTAGCGAGTTTCGGGTACCCAATAATCTTTCTTGAACATATGATATCGTGTTCTTAACTGGGTTTTTAGATGATCAAACATTACTATATATACAATCATTGTTCAACATAATGTTGATCAATACTGATCATCAAGATACCAATTAATTGCAATATTCATGATATATATATATATATATATGTATATATATATATATGTATATATATATATATATGATTGATTTTGATGTGGGATATATATGATCATATGAATTGCAGATGCAGTTTTCAAGCAGCAGATCAGTGGAAGGAGGAGGAGGAAATGATCTATCTGTAGCTTCAAGTGACAATAACAATAGCAATAATAATGTTAATGCAGATGGTCCTTCTCTACACCAAATCTATGCAAAGAGTGCTGCAGCATCATCAGGATTCCCACAGCAAAGATTCAACATTTGACCCCACCATCATCGGCCATTGCTGCACACAGATGCCTTCTTTCAAATTCTTATCACTTTCTCATGAATCATCATCTGCTCCCACAAAAAATTCCACCAAAAAGAGGAGAGAAAAATGGACCCTGCCTAAGGTTAATTCCATTGTTTTGTGTGTAAAAATGAATCAAGCAAAGAAAATCAATGATGATCATCTTTTTGTGTTGTGTACGGGCTTGTAAAGATCAATGCTAGTAGCTTTATATGAGTTGTGAGGTTTAGCATGGTCAAGATTCATGCGATATCAATCAAATTCATGTACGATTATTGACTAAGGGGTTGTTTGGCAATTGCTGAATGATTTGGTGCAGAATAATTAAAAGGCTCTCATGTTATGTCAAACGAGCCTTTAGGTTTTTTCATGATATATAACCTCCTAATGAGTTATAATTAAAGCTTTAGAAACGTACATCCATCAAACGAGCCTTTAGGTTTTTCGTTAACAATGCTTCATTGTCAAGAACCGAATGTAATCAAAGGGCCTTTGTGTAACATCGGTTACGTTAATTCTTAATAAAAGAAACTATTTATCCAAAAGATTTTTCCATAAAACAATCTCCAAGCAAATACGGGATATATGTTATAGATTTCCACCAAAATATAATAACATAACCTGCAACCGATGATTTTCGGTACTATAAGTCGGGTCCAAAAGCCCAGATATATCTACCCTAAAGTATTACATACATAGGTACAACTCAAAACGATATATGCATAAAAAATACCAAAAGATATCTAGGATCTGGAATCCCACAAGCAGATTTAAACTGTTTTATCTTTCCCTTGTGCAGCTACCGACTTTCCTGAAAGAAAATTTATTCTAAAAAAATAAGCGACAAGACTTAGTGAGATTATTCCAAAGCTTATAATTATATATATTTTATAAAAAAAAATACAAATATTAGACCGTTAGCTCCAAGAATCTGCCAAAACTTCGTCCAGAGCGCAGTATAACCAGAGGCTCTGGTCGTCCAGAGGGCCTCTAGTCCCGAAGGACTTGGACTCCAGAGCGCAGTACAACCAGATGCTCTGGTCTATACAACCAGAGGGCCTCTGGTCCCGAAGGACTTAGAGTCCATAGCACAATACAACCAAAGGCTCTGGTCGTCCAGAGGGCCTTTGGTCCCAAAGGACTTGGAGTCCATAACACAATACAACCAGAGGTTCTGGTCTATACAACTAGAGGCTCTGGTCGTCCGGAGGGCCTCTCTCCCCAAAGGACTTCCAAACTTGGCCATTTAATCACAACATAAAAAAAACTTTGAATCTTTCATCCTTAACATACAATGCTTATTAAGACTTTTTAGAATAATTAAGATCAATTACAACACTAAAAATGTATCCAACACCAAAGGTATCACTACCAAAATAGAGTATACATGTGCACCACATCCCTCTTCGTCTACCGGGCCCGTGCAAAGTATTCACACCCGGCTCCCTACCAATCGGGATACGTGAATACAACAATCGGTATGCCACACCCAACCTCCCTCTCCTTGGGATACGTGGGCATACACCATGCTACGGCTTATCACACGAAGTAATACCCGTAGATCATGGTTTATCAAAAAGTAAATAAACAGTCTCGAATCCGGACTCAACCACAACGTAAAAGGATTAGGAGATACCAAAACACAGTTAGGGAAAAATTCACCTTACAAAATAACACATGCAAAATCAGCAACTTTTCAGTAAGGATTCATATACATATACTACATATAAGTATAAGTTCGGTATAAACTCACTGTGCTTTATTAAAAACAACCGAACGCTGTAACATCCAGTTCCAACCAACAATAGCATTAAACCTTCAGAGGCTCTAAATAGCCTTAAAACAGCCCATGGAGTAAACATTTAAAGTATCAATAACCAACTATATCCCAACCTCAAGTTATACACTTTAGATCTTGATTATCCTATTTACACTTTCTTGTACA